CCCAGGCAGCCGTACCTGTGTGGGTCTTCATGTGCTCATCGAAGTACTGCTTCATGTTGAAGTCCTTGCCGCACCACTGGCACATGAACTGCTTGTGGCCGATGTGGATGCTCATGTGGGACCGCAGCTGGTACTTGTACTGGAAGCGCTCATTGCAGTTCTGAGGGTGGGGTGGAGGGTGAGGCCAGGGGGCAGGGTGGGGAGCACCTGCCTGGGACCGCAGGGACAGGGAGGACACACACGGGGAGGGGCTCCTGGGGCAGGCAGCACACTGACAGAGAAGCGGCCAAGGGTGGGCTCGGCCCAGGCGGGGATGGAAGGCAGGAAGTGGGAAAAGGCCCCAGAATGGAAGGAGTCCTCCTGCGTCAAGCCGAGGGCCCCCCATCCTTCCTATTTGTTGGAACGCCCGCCCACCCCCGCACCCCACCCATCGCGGCCTGCAGCTCTATCCCCGCTCTGCCTGAGATGTGCCTCCCTCCACCTCTCCAGAAGGCCTGCCCCTTGCCTGGCTGCAGCCCAAAGAAAGGCCCACCCTGAATGCGTGGGGGCTGGTTTACGGTGGGGTGGTGGAGGGTGGGGGTGGGGGGCAGGCAGGTGGGCGGCCGGCTTAGGATGCGGGAGGCGGGGGCCACAGACACCAGGGGGCCACCCCTCTTTGTGAATCCTGGACTCCACTGCCCCCTGAAGCAGCTGCTGCTCCCCCACCCCCGCTCGTCCAGGGTGGCCCCTGGGGCAGGTGGACAAAGGGACTCACCTCACATCGGAAGGGCTTCTCCCCAGAGTGCTGCAGCGAGTGCACTTTGAGAGACATGCTTCGTTTGAAGGACTTCCCACAGGTCTCGCAAGTGAAGGGCATGTCCTTGGTGTGGGCTGCGGGGCAGGCCATTATGTCTCAGGGGGACCCCCATGGCTGCTCCTGGGGGATCCCTGCCTGACCACATCCCACACTGGGCCTCCTGGGAGGCCCCCCCCGCTTCACGGTCTGCCTCAGAGGCTCCATCTAGGACCTGGGGCTGACTTCCGGGCAAGGACCCCAAGCGGGACTGGCTTTGGCTCAAACCCTGGCCCCACCACTGGCTCTCTGCACTGCCTCAGTGTGCCTCAGCGTGTCCTTCTACAGAGAGGCCAGGGGTGGTACTGAGACTCAAAGGTGGGCTTTACAGGGGATGACACTGGGCAGTCCAGAGGGAGTTGGCTGTGCTCCCCCCAAAACCACAGACAGGTGAGGACTAACAAACTCTTCAAGGAAGATCTGCGAGGGAGCAAGGGGAGCCAGAGAGTCCCCCTTGCAGCTCAGAGCTGGGGAAGCCGAGCCCAGGAAGACCACCAGTCCTGGGCTACCCAGCATGCTCCTGGCCTGGACCTCCACCCCAGGGTCCCAGCTCCCAGGTGGCCGGAGAAAGGGGTAAGGCCTGGCAGGGAGCCACATCGCCCTTGAGCTCCAGACCCCAAGCAGGCAAGAAAGGAGGGCCACCTGAACACCAGACTCCCAGCCGTGCCCTCCTAGAGGGGAGGGACAGCCATGCCCAAGGCAGAGGAGCCCAGCAGACATTCATGGGGGCCTCCTCATTCAGAGGAGCCTGAAGGCCTGTAAGGGCCAGAAGGTGAGAAAAAATTAGAGGCACAGCTGTCCTCAAACTGAGACAGGGCCTGTGTCAGTCCATATGGCATTTTGTGTAATTTAGAAAAGGGTACTTCTTTCCCTGGTGGCCATAACCCCATGCTGAGATGCACAGTCTGGTTAGCAGTGTGCCAGCTGGATTCTGGTCCCCACCTGCCATCTTGTCCAGGAGCGCTTGTGCAATGTCCCACCTGCCCAACCGTACATGGTAGCCCCGACCTCTGAGCCTATCCAGATCACAGCTGCCACTGCAACCAGCCTGCCCAGGATTCCCAGTTGAGAGGGGCCTTCTCACGCCTTCACACTGCCCTGGGATGGGAAGTCCTGCCCAGCACAGCCAGGAGCTGGCCCAGCTCTGACCTCAGGCCCCATCCCCTCCCGGCCCAGACTCACCAACCATGTGCTTGCGCACGTGGGCCATGGTGTAGAACTTCTTCTCGCAGATCTCACATGAGAACTTCTTCTCTGCATAGCCATGCACGATCTTGTTGTGCTCGTGGAGGGACCAGAGCTTCTTAAAAGCTTTGCCACACGTCACACACTGCAGGGTGAGAGGACTTTAGGCCTTGGGTCCTGAGTCAGGACCATGTGCCCTGGGACAATGTGCCCCTCACTGGACCTCAGTTTCTCTACCTGAACTGTGCTGAAGGGAGAGCCCTCGATGTCCAGCGACCTGCCAAATCTGCCACTCTGGGACTTGGGGATGGTAACTCCCTAAAAACATGCCCACCTACCCAGGGCTGCAGCCTGGGGCCCTCCCTCATCCTTGAACTCAACTTGGGTCAGGGGCCATCTATACCAGGAAGCCCCGACTCCGTGCTCATTTCAACAAGGCACCTGTCTACAGAGGGAAGACACATAACCGGTTGAAGGGCCATGGCATGTGAGGAGGCTACACACAGTGCACGAAGAAGCCCTTCTCAGATCACACGTCCGGCCTCCCCACTGCTGGGACCCATGCCCTGACACCCGGGAGATCCCCAAGGAGAGAGGTGCCAAAGTGCTGGCTGGGGAGGGGGTGGAGGGGGACTGCAGCAGGTCCTGGGTCCCATTAGGAAATGGAGGGTGGTGGGAACCCCGGGGGCCATGCTCCCCTCCTCCTCTTGTCCTCCCCATCCCTGCAGGAGACACTTCCGGAGGGCTGGAGTAGGTCAGGGCTTGGGCAGAAAACGGGTCCGGGTGCCCAGGTCAGAAGAGGTACATGCATCTTTCCCCTTCAGAAGGAAGGTTCAGGTGTGTGCAGGTTGGAGAGGCAAAGGGCAGCCCAGTGGGCAGGCAAGTGGGAACAGGTGCAAGAGGGTGGGGCAGGAGACCAGGTAATCCCCCAGGTAACACTTGCTCCACAGGGCACTGCAATTAGCAATTAGCTCAGGCAATTAGCACCCGCCTACCTGCTGCCCCCACAACCCCCTCCGGGCCAGCAAAGATAAAAAGCAGCCTGGCGGGCCCTGTGTTGCCCGCACCCTGAGAGGCTGGGTTGGCACACACTCAGGCCGAGCCGAGGCCTGGCAGCCAGCCCAGCTCCCCTGCTTGGCCCCGGCAGCCCCTGCTCTCCCCAAATTTCTCATCCAATCCCTCTTCCCAGGCCCAGGCCAGCTGACATCTCCAGAGAGCTGAGAGCAGGGGCTTCCTCCTCCAGGCCACCCCTTGCTCTATTCAGCCTTTGTGCAAGTGCCAATGGCGCCCCCTCTGGGCAAACCCTGCCCCACCTCGTCTGTGCTTCTGTGCGGGGCACGATCTGTCAAACTACGTGGTGGCCCTGTTGGCCTTCCAGCAGCCCTAGGATTGACTAAAACACGGGCTCAGCCCGCAGAGCTGGCTCAAGTACTCAGACAACTCCCTCCTCTCATCCTCCCCTTCGCCCCTCTGGCCAAGGGTACTGTTTGTTCCTGCCCGACCTGCACGTGTCTCCATGTGCCAAAGCCCAGCTCTACCTGCCTCCTCCAGGAAGCCCTCCTGGATGTTATCCCCTGAACTCGGACCACCCTGGGCCCGCGTTGGCCCCAGGGCCCGGCGGTAAGTCTGTCTGGGTGATGCAGGCAGCAGGACACTGGGGGCGCGGCCTGGGTGGCCATTCTGGGGAGCCCCCCGCCCCACCCCGCCCGAGGAGCCCCCGAGGCGCACCTGGATGTTGCGCTCGCAGTCTGTCTGCCGGTGAAGTAGCAGCTCGCTCTCCAGCAGGAAGCGCTTGCCGCACTGGTCGCAGATCTGCATGCGGCTGTGGGTCACGTTCATGTGCTTCTCCAGGTACCAGCGGTTGTTGAAGACGCGAGGGCACTTCTGGCACGGGTGGTGCTGCTTCTCTTCCAGCTTCACCTTGGCCCCCAGCCCGTCAGTGGCCTGTGGCCCTCGGGCTGCTGCAGAGGCTCCCCCCGGAGCGGGCTTGGGCCTCTTCCCGCCCCGCGGCCTGGCCTCCTCGGGCTCAGGGGGGCCTCGGCGTCGGGCGTTCTCTCGAGACCGCGTGGCCATGCGACTGTGGGGAGGGGGCTCTGCCCTGCTGCCCCGCTGCCCCGCTGGCCCCTGCCGGCTCCCCGCCTCCCCTCCCTCTTCCTCCTCTTCCTCCTCCTCTGAGCTCTCTTGATCCTGCTCACTGTGCCCTTCCTCTTCCTCCTCCTCTTCCTCCTCCTGCTCGCTGTGCCCTTCCTCCTCCTCGTCTTCCTCCTCTCCCTGACTGCCACCCTCCTCCTCCTCCTCCCCTCCGCTGCCACCACCCTCTTCTTCCTCCTCCTCCTCCTCTTCCTCCTCCTCCTCCTCTTCCTCGTCCTCGTCCTCCGAGTGTCTCTGCAGCCCGTCCTCCCGGCCCAGCACCACGGTGGCCGGGCCCGTAGTGGTGCCCGGCTTGCCCTCGGGCCCCGTGGACACGTGCAGAGTCTGGTTGTTGAGGTTCACCTCCACGATGATCTGGGACTGCTCCCGGCGGCTGTAGGTGCCAGAACCCCCCAGCTCTTCCTCCAGCCCCTCCCCACCCTCCAGCTTGCAGAGGCTGCCGGGGGGCCCGCCAGCCTCTTGCACGCCACCCTCCTTCTCCTCCTTGAAGAAGGGCTGAGCTGGCCCGATGGCGGCAGGTGCCGTGCCCCCCGCGGTCCCTGCCCCGTCCTCGACACGCACAGAGTAGGGGTCGGGGCCCTCGCGGGCATAGATCTTCGGCAGGCCCGGGGCGTCCGCCTCCTGCTTGATGTCGCAGTAGTAGGGTGGTGCGGCCGGGGTGCAGCCGGCGGCCGGCTGGGCCAGGGCCACAGCGCTGGGGCCGGGGGGGCCTAGGGAGCGGGCGTCCAGCAGCTCCTGGCAGGACGCGGCGATGTCGGCCATCTGCAGCAACGAGGCGGCACTGAGCACCTCGTGGACGTTGGCCGCGTTGACCAGCAGCTTGGAGGTGTAGATGAAGTTGAGGATCTGCTGCAGGCCACCGGGGGCCAGCGCCTCTAGGGACAGCTCCACGCGCTGCAGCTGCTTGTTCTGCGTGAAGAGCGAGTGGAAGAACTGGCTGTAGGCGGCCAGCACGCCCTTGTGTGCCGGGAAGACGCTGCGCTGGGGCACCAGCACCAGGTCCACGTCGCAGAGGTCAGGCTGGAAGAGGCGCTGCTCGTTCAGGCGGCCCATCAAGCAGGCGAAGTGCAGGGCCACGTCCTCCACCAGCGAGAACTCGGCCGCCGGTGAGTCTGTTGTCTTCTCAACCAGCAACTGCGGGGCGGAGGGCACAGGTCAGGTCAAGGCCAGCAACCCGGGCAGCGCCCCACCGTGCGGGAGGCAGCCTGCCCGTCCCTACTGGCTCTGCGTTCTGGGAAAGGAGCCGAAGCTCGAGCCAGGACGCAGGGGAACCAGGACTCGGGCCCGAGCCGGCCGCCCCTCAGAGCTCAGGCTCCAGTCACCACTGGCTGCTCCTGGGTGAGTCGGTTAACTTTCCTGGGCCTCCAGCGCTTCCCTGTGAGACAGGAAGTCGTCCTGGGCAGGGAAGGGGAAGAGAAGGAAAGAGGAAGGAACAGGGACTAGGGTCACCGGCATCCAGGAGTGCGTGGGCCTTAGGGGCTTCCTGGGATGAGGGGCTTTCTGTGCCAACACTGGGCCGACCCAGGCGAACTAGGGCGAGGTGACCACCCCAGACGCGAGCATTCCTTCAGCATTTCCTGAGCTCCACGGATTCTCTCCCTCACACTCACTCACACGTACAAATAAAACCACGCCTGCCCAACCCCAGGCCCCTCAAGAATGAAAGTCAGGCTCGCTAGCTCACTGCTCGGCCTCGGGCTGCTACCGCACCCCTGGGCGTAGTACCTAGGAAAGCCCTCGCCTCACCAGCAGTGAGCCTCAGGGCCCGGGCCTGAGGCTTTGCAGGGGTAGAAATTCTTGGGAAGAAATCCAGGCCCAGGCCTTGGTCCTCCTGCCCTGCTGGAGGAGGCTGGTGGGATCTAGCCAGCCCGTTCCTACTGGGCCAGGCGGCTGCCCATGGCCTCGGGCCTGGCTGCCGGCAGCTCCCCCCTCACACAGGGGTTCTGTGGGGGTAGAAGGACAGAACTGTGTCTTCTGTCCACCATGCTTAGAGACAGGAGGCCCCCAAGGACCACCCTAGACCCTCTTCCCTCTAGGCCCCCAGACCCCAGGTCACGTGTGGTCCAGGCCCAGAGGCTCTGCGCCCCATCTTGGAAGCCACACTACCTGGGGCCTTTGGAGCCCCAGAGAGGCCCTCAAAGTCTGATGGGTCAGATTATCAGGCCCTTGAGCCACATCCAGCACCTGTGAATTGTCCAGAATAAGGGCTGGCTTAATCATTCCCGGCTCCTCCGCAGCAGCTTTCCCAAAAGGTGGATGGCACCGAGAGGCAGGCTGCCCACTCCCTTGCCTGGGTCCGGGGCACAAATGTTCAGTTAATATCTATCGATCAGCTGCCTGGCTGGACCAACCCCGCAGGTTCCAGTTTCTGGCCGTCCTCAGGCCCTGTCGAGCTGGGTCAGAGCCTCCTATATTTGAGGGGTACCTTGCCCCACTGCCACAAAGCCATCAGCTCTTCTCCCCCAAGCACCTCCGTGCAAGCCCGGGATGAAACCCCAGTTCCGTCCATCCACAGCCCACCCCAACCCTCCATGCTAGTCGTTCCACTGCTGGGGCAGCAGTAGGGGGCCCAGACTGGGCTGGGGCGGGGTGGGGGGTGGTATCTATGTTCAACTTCTCAGTCACCTAAATGAGAAGCAGCCCGGGACCTCAGGATGAACCTCGAGGAGCCACAGGGGCAATCTGCTTCCAGATCTGCCCCTGCGCACCCTGCACCCCGCCCCCCTCCGCATACCCAGCTACTCGGGGGGCAGCGCCCACCCGAGGCTCTCTCTGATCCCAGGCTGGCCAGACTCTTGACCATGGACGCCATCTTCCTTGAGTTCTCCCACACCTCCTTCCTCTCCGCCAAGAAGCCAACCATCTGCCCCCTCTGTCTCAGGGCTGCTGGCCTGTCCAGGGCTGGCCAATCTAACAGGGATATGGTGCCAAGTCCCTCCCATCTCCCTCCTCTGACTCATTCTGATTCATCTTCTGGGACCAAACTCTATTGCACAGATGGGGAAACCGAGGCTCGGAACGGGAGGGTCGCACAGCGGGCAGGAGCAGAGCCCCTGGACTCCCAGCTCTGCTAAGGCCACCCCTTCCCGACTGGACTGGACACTCCCCACAGATGGATTTCTTGGCTCTCAATGCCTTACAAAGCAGGAAGAGGCATCTGGGGAACCTCTGACTCAGGGGACCCGCGGTGCTTGCCCAGAACCCCACCGTTACCCCCTGCCACCTGCAGCCTCCTCCCCTGAGCTACTGCCACCTGCAGGTCAGTGAGGGGGCAGGATGCAACTTCGGTTGTGACAGGGCCCCTAAGGGCCACCAGGGGCCAGACAGTGGCAGAAGTGGCTTGGCTAAGGGCTCGTTAAAGCCAGGCCTGTTGAGGGGAGCACATCCGAGGCCACAGGGCCCCCAGTCCACTCTGCTCTCCCCTCACAGAGTGCCCTCCAGTGCCTACCTGGCATTGGAAAAAAAGGGCAGTGCCTGACCTTCCCGTGTGCAGATCTGGTCCCAGGGCCCTCTGGCCTCAGCAGGGAAGGAGGGGTTAGCCTGGAGGATACTGGTGCCCCAAAGACTCCATTCCCACGGCAGTAAGCCCCAAGCCAGGGCCACCCTGCACCCTGGAGGGGCCCAAGAGTCTCTGCCAGGCACCCTGGCTGGACTTCCTTGACAGGGCACACCCATTCTGCCAGAGTTCATAACCCATCAACTACCTCAGCAGGGCTCAGCCACCCCTCTGCCTGGCACCTCCCATGCAAGGCCCACCAGCTGCGCCGGCCCCCCTCCCCAGCCAGATGTGCCAGTTCCCTGAAACTGCACCCATCCCTCCCTATCGGCTAGGCCAGCTGCAGCCATACACCCCACCCTCAAGTGCAGGCCAGGTCGGCCTATCTAAGATGCAAGACCAGGGGAGTGGTCAGGCATTCCCGTTGCCAGGGGGTTTCAAGCCCTCAAACTCTACCTGCAAGCCACATTGGGGGCGGGAGTGAGGTGGCGGGGGAGGCCAGGTGCCAGGGACACCTGCCGAGACTACTCCCCAGGGCCAGAGCCTTCTGCATCGGAGGGGTACCCGGTCTCCATGCCATGAAGCCACCAGCTCCCTAGCCTGTCCCAGTGCCTCCCTGGAGGCCCTGGGATGAAACCTGGGCAAGCATCTGCAGCACCCCCCCCCACACACACACACAAACGCCCACGCCAATCCTCACTGCCGGGCAGCCGGGGGTGGGGCCCACACTGAGCAAGGGGACACAGGTTGATGACTTCCAGACGCCTCCTTTTGGAGAGGGGGTGTCTGTACCAGCCTCTTCTGCACTCATGGCCCCACTCCTTTCCCAGGACACAGGCCCAGGGAGGGCAGAGGACTGGCCCAAGGTCACACAGTAGTTTGGACCGGAGCTGCGGACGTCCCGCCCCAACACACCCCGCTTGGCCCAGTAGCCCCAAATCCCCAGGCAGGGCGGCTCCAGCGCCCACGTGGCCCAAGGCCCAGGCGGGAATCCGACCTCCCCCCTCCCCCCCATCACCCAGTCCGAGGGCGGCGCCGTCCCAGGCTCAGAGAAGCGCCCCCCTCCGCCGGTGCCTAGCAAGACCTCAGCCTCTCGCGCCCGGGCCCCCACCCCAGGAATTTAACCCCCTCCCCGCTGAGGGCCGCGCCACAGCGCCGCATTCCGGGCCCGCGGAGACCCGGGAGAAGGGGCCGGGGAGACCCGGCGAGGGAGAAGATCCCTCCAACTCCTCCACCCGGAGCCGGCGGGCCGTGCGCTCGGGAGGGCAGAGCGGGCAGGTGGGCGGATAAGCGGGGGGACAGGCAGGGCCTTTGCGTACCATGGTGCCGTGGCGCTGGGGGCTCACAGGGCCCCGCGGGATCGCGCTGCCCCCGGCGGCCGGGCCGGGGCCGCTCCATGAAGCGCCGCGCTG